GGGGGGGGAGGGGCGCCGGGGCGGGCGGATGGACAGGGGAGGCGGGGGGGCAGGGGGCGGGGCATGGGGCGGTCAAAGAGCCTGCGCAAACCGCGCGGCGAGGTGGGGGAGGGCAGTCCGTGTGTTCCTGTGTTGTTGTTCGGCGGCGGCGGCGGCGGCGGTAAGATGGCTGCCCACGGGGGCTCCGCCGCGTCCTCGGCGCTGAAGGGGTTAATTCAGCAGTTCACCGCCATCACCGGTAAGAGACGCGGTTACCGGAAGGTGGAGAATGGGGTCCGGAGCGGGCGGCTGGTCTGCCCCGGGCTTCCCCTTACCTTCACGCACACCTCCCTCGGGCTTTCCCCACAGCTCCCGTCCTCCCTCCTGAGTGAGAGGCGACTACGGCATCGGGGTCTCCGGGTTCAGGCGGGAGACAGCCTTCAGTGGCCCCCGTATCCTCGTTCTCGGTCTCTTCGCGGTATGGAGGGAGACACCCTCCTCCCCCCGCCGCCGGCTCAGACCTGGGAGTGGGCCGAGCCCGTCCGCCCCCGCCAGCCCGGGGGCCTGGTGGCAGGGGAGTGGGGGGCCGCACCCGGGCCACCGCCCTCCTTCTCCTTCATCCTCCGCTTTTCTCCTCTTCTCTGTGCAGCTCTGGGGTGCAGTGCATCCCTCAACTCCTATTTTCTTTCTTCTCCGGCCAGGTCATTCTCCCCCCTTCGTAGCCTGCCCTTCCCCTTTTCTGGGACCCTCGGAGCCATCGCCGTGGCCCTGGCGTGTTCAGTTTGGAGGCCTTAACGCGAGGCTGGTGGGTTCGGCAGCGCCTTTACACATCCCGGGGGATAGGCCGCCAGAAACGGGGGGTGCTGAGAAGTACCTTAGGGACTGGGGTTTTAAGAGAAGAAGGAAGGGGGACCCCCCCAAGCTTAATGGGGAAGGCCTGGAGGAATACTGGGTGGCGTTTCCCATCTCCCCATAATAAAATCATAAAGACCGAGACGATGGCGCCGGGCCTCCTGCTGATAAAATAGGATGGCGGCAGAAACTTCTTTGAGAGCAAATCTGTTTCTGGGTGACAGTATCCCCCCAACCCTAGATCTAGGTTTTTCTTTCCCTTTGGACCTCTGCGAAGGGCACACGCAGATCCTCTTACCGCCTGTTGGAAAGGCCCTGAGCCATTCTATGAATTCTGTCTTGTTTCTCTCTGATGGTGCTGAACTTTTTTTGCATGAGTTATTAGAGGGCGGAGCAAATGATGAAGTTCTCTGTGGAGTGATTTGAGAGAAGAGTACTCCATGTGCTTGAGTGTAATTTTGCCCGTTGTAGTTTGTCATTTGGAAGGAGGTCAGAATGTTAGTTTCCTCTCTTAACAGATCTGTATTTTATCTGGAAATTTGTTAGATGCAGGGAATATTTATTTCCACTGTTAATATTCTTAGAGTTTGACGTGCAGGATCTGGTTAAGTAAAATTTTATGTTGTTTTAACTAATACAGGTTGTATGCAAGTAGCCCGTTTTATAATTAAAGCTGTATTATTTTTTGCTGTCTAGTGATAACTAGATGTTTGATGCATTGTTATCTAACTTGTGGGCATGAAACATCACGTCAAGGTTGGTAAAGTAAAATTTATAATAAAATTGGGATGAAGAGTGGAATGATAACTTTTCATAATATTTTAAAATTTTTGATTGGATTGTTATATAAAAGATGTAATGAATTTCCCTATGCCTAATCAAGTCATTCTTATGGAGATTAGAAAATTGTGTATATAAGTTAATATTGCTGTATTACATTTATAAGAAAAATCTTTATGGTGAATCATATAGAGGAGGGAATATCATTATCAATCATTTCTTTAGATTTCCAAGAGATGATGCTATGGTTTGAATGTTCCCCCAAAGCTCATGGAGCTTGATCCCCGTTGTAGCAGGGGTAAGAGTAAGAGGGTGGGAAATGTGACTATAGTATTTGAAAGGTGGAGCCTTTAAGAGGTGATTGGATAGTGAGGACTAGGCTCTCATGAATGGATTAATCCATTCATGGATTAATGGGTTATGGGTGTGGACTGGTGGCTTTTTATAAAGGAGAGCACATGAACTCATTCTTGCCATTCTTGCCATTCTTGCCATGTGATACCCTGGGTTACCACAGGGCTATGTGGAGGTTCTCCACAAAAAATGCCCTCACTTTATATGCTCCCTGGACCTTGGACTTCCCAGCTTCCAAAACTGTAAGAAATGTCTTTTTCTTTTTTTGGGGGGGGGGGGTGCTGTGGGTTAGTGTGGAAATCAGAACCCTTGACTTTTGTGTTATAGCCCTGAGTTCTAGCCAACTGAGCTAACTGGTCAGCCCTAAATTCTTTTTCTTTATTTTTATTTATTTATTTTTTCTTAAAGATGACTGGTAAGGGGATCTTAACCCTTGACTTGGTGTTGTCATCACCACGCTCAGCCAGTGAGCAAACCGGCCCTCCCTATATGGGATCCGAACCCGGGGCCTTGGTGTTATCAGCACCGCACTCTACCGAGTGAGCCACGGGCCGGCCCTTCTTTTTCTTTATAAATTCCCAGTTTCATGTATTCTGTTATAAGCAGCAGACAATGGACTAACACAGATGGTTTAAGATGCCACTTATTTAATTTCCATTTCTTGTGCTATCTGCTGTCCTTCAGAAACTCAGATTGTTTTAACCTCACATTATTTCTTCTAGTACAACATTGTCAGTAGATATACACAAAAACCAAAGTATGGTGAGATGAATTGACTCATTTAGTTTCTTTTTTTTTTTTCCTTTTTGTCTTTTTTCGTGACCGGCAACAGATCACAACCCTCAGTGTCGCGCCCGTACCGGACCGGGACCGGCAACGGGATCGCAACCCTCGGTGTTGCGACCGCACCTCGCTCAGCCAGTGAGCGGCCGGTCTGTATGTGGGATCCGAACCCTCGGCAGGAGCGCCGCCGCACTCCCAAGTGGCGCACTGTAGCAGTGCGCCACCGGGCCGGCCCAACTCATTTAGTTTCTTTAATTCTGTTTCTGTCTGCTGATCCATACAGCTTGTTTCCTGGTCACAAGCCTCTGTATTGCTGGATCAAGTTGGAATACCTCAGTAGACAATGGTATTTGGAAATCTACAGAAGGAAAGAATACTGTGGACTGTTCTTGATGTGTTATGAATTTCTATTGATTATTTTGGGGATTCTTTTTACAATATAGTGATTAACCATTAGAAACACATGATTGATCCCTTTTAGCCTTTTTCACATATCTTAAAAAGAAATATTTTGGGTTCTCCAAAAATTTTATTTTTCTTTTATTTTATTTTGGGTCAGCTGGCCAGTACAGGGATCTGAACCCTTGACCTTGGTATTATCAGCACCACACTCTCCCATTTGAGCTAACCGGCCAGCTCTGATTTCTTTATAGGCATCGTCCAACCAACCGAGTTATCCATCCAGACCTTCCACATATGTTTCAAGTCATAGTGCTTATGATTAAAAGATATTTTATATTTATTCATTGCTGGATGAATTAGACTGACTATAAGAGCTTATGCTCTGATTTCAAAAAGGTTTTATTTATCTGGAAGCTCAACATTTGTAAAAGCAAATGCTCTTCAAAAATGTGAGTCTTAACTTTTCTGTGATATTTAGAAATAGAAGAGAAAATTAAAAGATTTTTGGTAAGTCTTATATCTCACTAAATAGAACAAATCTCTCTTTGTGTCTCTCTATGTATTATGGTGAGTATGAAGTAATGATTGATTTTTTTAAAAATATTAAAAAGATAATATGACAAGATGAAATAATTTTGAAAAGGAAAAAACTAATCCATTCTCACAAGAGCAATATTATTTATTTTACATATTATCTTCCAATTCTTGTTAATATACTTATTTTAACATTGTGGATCATAGTATATATAATACAGAATTCTGAATTTTTTTTTTCCTTTTTGTCTTTTTTTTACTGACCGGTAACGGGATCGCAACCCTCGGTGTCACGCCCGTACCGGGGACTGGCAACGGGATTGCAACCCTCAGTGTTGCGCCCGCACCGCGCTCAGCCAGTGAGCGGGAACCGGTCTCCACATGGGATCTGAACCCTCGGCAGGAGCGCCGCTGCGCTCCCAAGCGGCGCACTCTCCAGTGTGCCACCGGGCCGGCCCAGAATTCTGAAATTTTTGCTTAACATTGCATCATAAACATTTTTCCATGACCCAGCCCTTTGATAAGCACGTGGCCATAGGAAGTGATGATGTTCTTAGAAGTAATCACATTGAGAAGCTGTCTGCCTTTACCATTGATACCTTCAGAATCACTTAAAACTATATAAAAAAACCGGTCCTGTTACTTTATAGTCATACCACGTTGTACAGTATTACTCAGTTTGATCTCCCTTGATATTTATCATACATGGCTTTGAATTACTGTTGACTGTTTTCAGAAGTCATACCAATTCCAAAAACATGAAGAAAGTATATGCTGCTGGATCTGTTCCAAAAGAGCAATTTAAAAAAAAATGTTTTGAACCATGGCAGTATCCTGTTAACAACAACTTCAGGCTGACATCCAGCCATGCGTGTACATAATATGCACATGTGTAATCAGAAAAATTCATGGGGTGAATGGGAGGGATACATAGACACTATAGAATAGGTAAAAATAAACAGGCAATTGGAAGGTAAGGACAAATATGAAGGGGAACTGGTGGCTGAGAAGAGTAGAGGAAGTTACTAGTATTGAATTTCGTAGAGCTTTGTGTGTAGTATGCATTCACATATTTTATGAAATTGTAGAACCTGAGTTGTAGAAGAGACCTTAGTTTAATCTTTCTATAAAATGTTGAATGAATGCATATTTATTATAAAAATTAGAAACTGGTATGTGTAGTATTTGGCTTTATGGACAGTTTCCATTAATATTTTGTATAATACATTTCTGTTGGGTTAGTATTAAAATGTGTTTAAGTTTTCTGTGCTAGGAAAAAGGTGGTTACAAGTGTTCTAGATATTAAAAGAAAATTCTCTTGGAGTTCTTAAGAACTATTGCAAAAGGTAGTAGTGAAGTTTGAGCAGAAATTTAATAGAAATAATTTTTTTTGAGTTGTGAATGGAATCTTACAAATAAATTCAGTATTTATTGATAAACCACTATGTGCCAGGCATGGTTCAGATCCTGGAGATACAACTGTAAGCAAGACATGATGTCTGTACTCAAAAAGCTTAAAGGTTAATGGGCATATGCACACATACATAGGTATTG